AAAAAGTATTCGTTATCCTTTTTTACCATCTTAGCCAGGCAGTGACAATCGGCCAAAATTGACGGACATACACTTGTCACGTTCTTCCCATATACTCTTCGATTACGATCTTCCACCTCTCATTTATCATGAACTATTCACCACGACCACTAACTCCCCATATTCTCTAGTCTTCCATCCCAATCTCACGCATCCTACCCTAATACCCTACACCTTCCTGCTCAACCATCCCAAGACCCATATTTACTTACAAGAAGCGATAAATATTGGAAGGGAGCCTGCCATCCTCCAGCTATCGACACGAGCCGAAGATCAAAGGGGAAATCGTCGCTTGTTGAGGGCAAAAGTTTTTAGCGCGTCAGGTCGCCAAGCAGGGATTAATTCCGTCAGATCCCAGGGAAGAAACATGGCGCGACAGAGACGCGGAGGAAGAGGTCTAGCGGCCGTTGAAACGCCATTATTCCCTCGGTGCTTTATCCGTTCCACCGAGAAACAAAAGTTGTTCACGATACCGTGGGCTATCGATCTTTTCGCCCTTTCGCGACGGTCCCTCGCGGGGAATAATGCAGCGCAGAGATATACCTTGATCCGAAAATATCCACCGGTCACGATCCACGGCGAGCCTTCCAACTTTCGTATCACGGGGGTCAGGAAACTTTTGACCCTTCTCTCTGTCGCGTTTTCTTTCCCTTTCTTTTCCTCTGCACACGTTCGTTCGAACGTTTCTTCCCTTCTTCGGGCGGCAACTTTGAAAAAGTTGGAAGAAACCGACGATGGACTCGTCGACGGTTACGAGAGCATCAAATATTCTATGAATTCAGAGGCGGCTTTGTACACCTTGGCCACCACTCGCCCGGGCAAACCAGAAAATTTCCGTATTAAATTTTTACCTTCAACTTTCCAACGCCTTGTCTCCTCGCCGCGAACGAGTCTCAACCTCTGAACGATCGTTCTCTCGGTTTTACGAATATTTTTAATACGATGTCGAGTGTTTGGTATATTTGGGTAAGTGATCGAGTAAGATTGCCGAATTATTCTCGTTTAAATTTTCCATCTAGAATCAATCTTGAAAAGGAAACATCGTTTCCATCATTTTTCCTAATTGGTGCTCTACGTAAAGTAATATTAAAGCAATCAAAATACTTATTTCTCCCATCAAGATTAACTATAATTTCAGAAATCAATCTATACAGCGTCGAACGAACGAATTCACCGTAAGACAATTATGTTATTAAAGAACAATGCAACGTTACGAACGAACGCGCACAACAAAGTAACAAAGGGAAGGAGAGAGTGAAAGAGAAGGAAAATGAGAGAAAAGGGAAATCGTAGCGTCGAACACAGCCATAATTCCAGAAAATGAAGCGAACCTCGTCCTAGGCACATCCCACAACGCTGCCATGGTGTTACGTCCCCCTTCTACGATCTCCCCATCGTCCATGCGGCTAACCCCCTCGTCAGATGGGATGTGCACGATGCAACTGACCAATAACTTACCCCTCGTGCCTGTGCCTACGCGATCGATAGCCACAGTATCCAATACGACCATCTTCGTTCGCTTTTTCCACACTTAGCCTGTTTCTCTGGCCACGACACACACACACACACACTACTTTTGCACGAAACTCATGGCCAGCAAATGATACGTTCTCGAGGAAAGTTTCACCGGTATCGAGAGACAGATTGGTGGTCACGATATCGAGCACGCTTGTCTAATATTAACGACAGCGACAGTGGTTAGACTTCGATTTTACAACACGAAAAAAAAGATACGCGTTCTGCGAGGTTGAATATTTTTCTGTTCCTCTTGTTGGATTTCTGTTGTATCATGGATTTCCATTGATTTGGTTAATTAAAGTATTTTTGAAGAATCTTCTCCCAGAAGTTACTAAATGCAACTGTATGACTTTCTGTTGGTAAACTGCTTTTTTTTCTTGATTTTATGGGGTATTTTTATAGAATGGATTTTTAATGAATTTGGTGGTTATTTATATATTTATTTATTATTGAATATCGGATAAGACATTTTTTGAGAAACATTATCGAGTATAGTTGTATGACATTTTTGTGTTTGGCAAGGTAATTGTTTGCTATGAGACATTTTTTGAAAAGAACAATCTTGTACCTAAAGATTTCGTGACAAACATAAGCTACAGTGTAAAGATCTCGACGATACATTGGCGCCGTTTCTATGGCGCCCAATGTTAATTACATCTGAATTGCTTATCATGCTTGTCATCGTCAGCAAGATTCGACGAAGACTCGAAATCGGGTGGTTGGTTTTAATAAGAAACCCCCAGCGGTTATCTCGAGGAGGAGCCAGCTGAAAGTGCAACGACGCAAAATGAACATCTTTTTAAAACCGCGAGTCTATTTCTCCTCTTTTTCTTCGCTTTGAATCATTTCCTTGGATTAATTGAAAAACTTTCGCAGGCCGTCTGGAAAAATCGTACGATACAAGAGAATCTGCCATTCCTGGTACCTATGCACATACCGTAGAAAATCCCAAGGTGCAAGAAATTAATTGAAATTAAAATTTTATTTAAATCTGTACTTATCTACGACGATAAGAAGAAACCTTTTACAAACTTTTGAGTCGCTTCAAAAAGATCACAGTAAATTATATTCGCTGACTAAAACCATAACGTGCAATACTACTGTAAACATTAAACAAAACGAATTCCATCGATCCAAATGACAAAATTCCTAATGTATGTAATCACATAAATGATAAAAAGAACGAAATCACACAATTCTTAGAGAGGAATAAAATGTAAAGAAAAGAACAATACCGAGAGAAGAACGTCTTGTGTTATCAGCGTCAAAGAGAGAATCTCTTTCAGGCGACATAAGCGAGGCATTTTGCTCGTCGGCTATAAATTGTCAAGAATTCTTCAACATCATCTTCCCGACGTTCCCCGAATCGTCGAGCAAGGGTGGCGGATAGGCCGTTAATCAGCGGCAAGCAGGCACTGATTCAGGAATTTTTAATGGCTGATCCCCTCAACGCATTCCATAGAAGGAAAACGGCGTCGATTAATTTAGCAGCGGCGACGTTTTGCAAAAAGAGGCGAACCCCGGTCCGGGAGACAATGGACGAAAGATCTCGAAAGTTACAAAAGGGAGGATCCAGACAAAGAGTGCGAGAACGGTGGAACAAAGAGCAGATAACAGACCCTGGCAAAAACACCGGCAGCGTAGGGAAAGAGATGGACCCCTTGCCTATCCGCAGCATCCTTGGTCAAAGCGTTCGTCTCTGGTTAGAAAAATTGGCCCACTAACCGGTAACCTACGTTTTCTTCGTACCGCGATATTTTAGGGGATGTTACGCGGTCAAAGAACGATGTTTCACGTACGTCGCGGTTTTGGTAAAATATTCTCGTCATCTTTTTACGTCGGAGCTACTTTGTGGATGTAGAAACAAAAAGCGTGGGAAGGAAAAGGGCTAGTAGCGTATATTTTGGTCATTTTAGTGTATTGTGTATCAGCTCTTGTTTATGTAGAATTTATTCTAGACGAAAGAGAAAATGACTAAAGAGATTCGCCTACAGAAACTTCGTCCGAGACTTATGTTTCGACCTACAAACAGATTTATTTTACGTTAGAAATTGTTATCAACAAGAGAGGTGACGAACTTGTCTCTGTACTTCATGCGCATTTCGTGGCTCTCGATGTTACCCAATTGCAGTTTAAACTCGTCATTTACCGGCGATTTGTTTCAAGCTAAATAATTAGGTAGAAAATCGTACGTGAATTATGACGTTCAATAAAATTACAAGGTCTCGTTCGTGTAAATTTATTCGCTGAACAGATATCTTCATTTATTTTGAATTAGATAGAAAATTGTACGTGAATTATAGCGCTGAAAACATGTGTGTGAAAGCAGGACTTTATCCGCACGAATTTACTTTCTCTTTCTCTCTCTCTCTCTCTATTCAATAACTTGACTCCGTGCATCAAAACCCTATTAAATAAACACTCGTATTAAGTAAACAGTGCTCGATGTATCCTACCAAATTACCCAGAAACACGAGCGCTGGTTGTTTTAAACGGCGAGTCATTTACTCTCTCCAATTCGTTCGTAATGTACACCGATTCTCATCCAGCGGACAAACTCTACAGAAATTAATTGCAAACGGGCAGATTAAACGCGTGTCAACACGAAAGAAATCCAACTAGAAGGAGAGGAAATGAGAGGAAAAAGGAAATCTCTCAGGGTAAGGAAGAAGGACGAAGAAGAGGAAACTCCGGTGTTGGGGTAGAAAAATCCCTTCTTCTTCCAGTTCGTCTTCTTCGTCTTGAACGTTACTGAGAAGGCACATGCCGTAATGAAAACATGAATACTTGAAGGCCACCCACCACCCATAATTATATCTTCGCCCTCGGGTTAGGCTCGATCCACGATCTTCAGGGTCGAGAATGGTGAAACAGAGGGACAAGGGAGAGAAAGAATCGAGGGGGTGGACAGGGGTGCCATTTCTGTCCCCTAAATAATTAATTCCGGCAGTGCCGCCAGCTTAAACGCGTTGGGGAGGAAAAACTTCGATGCCAGAAACGTGTCTAGAGATCCTCCTCCATTTCCAACGACCTCTACGCTGCTCAACGCTCCTCTAATCGATGGTCGTAGAACATTATCGAGCTATATTTCAACGCTAGTGAGTTCGTTGCACAGAATTATAGACAATTTGTTTCAATATCGCTACTGATATTGATCGTATAAGTTCTTCTTATCGTCGTTAGTAAATTGACAGTCTTTACGCGAATTTTTATTTTTATGAACATTAAAAGATATAAGTTACATCGGATAAAGATTCATTTCAACTATTAAAAAGTTGTCGGGTTTGTCGAGTTGGCGTTAGTCTTAGGAGCGTGTTGCGTATCTTCATTAGGACAAGCCATCGTAGTTGTTCAATGGAGATTATATTTACAATTATATGTACAAGTGTTGATTTAACAGGGTTTAACAGTCAATCGTGGTAATTAGACTCTCTTAATGTAAAGACATTGTTCTTAGGTTCAATAACGAATCCATGGTCAACGGGAAAACTCTCTGTACAATTGAATATGTTTTGAAACACAAAGTGACGTTAGCTGTGACGCACGGTATCTTTCTGACTGACAGACAAGACGATGTGTGTAAACTCTCTACGGTGATCACAAGAATAACAGACTGATACGATCATATTTGTCATTCGCATATTGACCGGGGACTTCAACAAAATTCCAGGCGCCGTTACTAGGCTGACCCGCGTAGAGCCGTCGTTGCTCCTGCCCGGGGCTTGTTTGTTAATACAGCGTGTGTCCCTCGATATTGGTACTTCTACTGTTAAGTAAAAACGTTCATCCCGTGCCCGTGGCTACGTTCGGCCACCAGTTGTGTCATCTCGAGGTCAAGCCCAGTGTCACAAATCTCGGGCAAACATAATCAGATCGTATCACAACAACTACGTCTAAGTTCTATTATTTAAGTACAACTATAATAAATAGTTTAGACCAAAGTATTAGGGATCTTTTCAAAATTCCAAAAGAAAGGCCCGATGTCCCTACATCTCCGACAAAGTAATATATATTTTTGTACGTTATCGTAAATTTCGTAAGAATTAGATCTACCGAGTTGTTTCACCCTAATGAGGAAAGTGGAAGGAGAAGTAGAAATAAAATGATAATTCAGATATCGATAGCCGTACAAACTTTCACATACTTACGTTATGTTTATGATATCTATTATCTATTTCAACCAACATTAACGCGATTCCTCACGAATTCCTAAATTATAATGTTTCGTTGAAATAACAGTTCGTAATATGAAAAAGTAAGCTGCCGCTTCAAACTTTATGAATAAAAAAATTTCTTATTAAAGAAATGCAAAACTAAACCAAATGTAAAAACACGAATAACGGAACATAACATTTTAACGAACATAATAAGGCGAATAAAGAAAGGGGATCGGAAAATTGTTACGGGATGAAAATCGCTAATCTCAGTTTCGCCGGCTCGAACAATTCGACATGAAATTTTGCGCCAGATACCTCTTGGAAAATAAGACGGAGGATTAATGGACGCGGCATTAGGGTGTAATTTTATGGGGATTATTTTAAAGGCTTTCTCGGATCCAGTGGCTCAGCCGCGATTATCTAGACATCATTAATCATGTGCCCCGGTTTAAACTTTGCAGCGCCGTATACCGAAAACTTTTAAAGCACCATTTACTCGATCTCTGTAAGTTCGCTCGCTTATGGAGCTTCCCCGGCGTTTTCGCGGTAGAGACGACAACCAACATCCCTTTGATGAAATACGAAGATTAGCATAATCAAACGAAACCGCGATATTTATCTGTATTTTCAACAGTTTTTCAAATTACCGTCACTCGTAGATATGATCGTACTTGATCGAAATTGTAACTGTTATGCAACACGCATTGCGTAACGAAATTTTTATACACTTCGACATTAAGGTTTCTATCTTTGGATACGTAAAGTCTCTATTTTTATATATTTCAATTATTAAACTTGCATACGAAATTTCGAATAAAATACAAACTGATTTTGAGCTCTGAAAATCTGAAGGAAATAAGTTTCGAGGGAAACTTTGAGATACCGTTGAAGGAGAACTCATTTTCCACAGTCTGATAATGATAGAAAAAGAGAATCGTTTGTTACGAATTGTAGTAGATCTTCATTTTCATAAAATTCTTTGGTAGATAAACACTTTGGAAGATCGAAATGTTGAACTATTTAATGGATTGCCATTAAAAGAGTTAATAGCGGCAGAGACTAAAACGAAAGGCGCCGCTGCAGCAGGTGGAAGGGGTGAAACGTGCACGCCCCTTTCCCTTTTTTTAGCCAATCCAGCGGCAAAAACTCGTCTGGCATGCATAATTACATCGAAAAAGAAGCTCGACAGATGCTGCAAAGGGTTGGAAAGCGCTGCTAAAGTTGGGATCCACGCATTCAGGAAGGGTTAACTGAATCGAGGCGCTTTGATTGGTCGAGCAAAGTAGGGTGGACAAGAGAGCACGAGCAAAGGGTTCGCTTGAGTCGACGTTGCTTATCGGCCATCTTAAAATCGATTACTCTATCTACAGTGCTTTATAGATGTTTCCCTACGAAGCAACCTTTCTAATACAGAATCAGTTTTCTTCATTTTTTTTTTTTTTCATTAGAATTTGTTTTAATAGAAAGTTCTTTTTATCTTTAAATATACTTTTATTCTTTTGGAAATCAAGGGTCCTGTTTCGAAAAATCTTACAAACATTCGTAAAATTAAAATTCTCTTCTCTATTTCAAATTTGATAATCTGCCTGATTTATAAAAATCAATTTTGATGTTATGAATGTAGCATAAAGTGAAGTATAAAGATACGAAAAGAAGAAGAAGAAAGCTACTAACATTTATCGATCGGAATTATTAATTAATCATAACGAAGTACGCGGTCTTTTATATATATAACGTGATTATCATTATGCATTGATCATACGATTGATCGAGATCTTCTGCAAAATCATATGTCTAATATCCAACACTTTTCGCTCGATATAAAGACAGAGGTTCATTTGTTTAGACATACGTATAATTAAATTCAAAAATTATTATTAACGAACGACAATAAAAAGCCAATAACAAAAAGATTTTAATAAAAACAGTAATGACAATCGGAATTTCGATCTCGATCTAGAAAATCGTTTCACGAAACAACCACAAACATGAATTATTAATGACCGAAATGGACAAGACGCTATTCAAGACATAATATCCATTCAATTCCAACTTGAAAAATAAGGAGATTCTTGTCTTGAAATTCTTATCAGAACACGTTGCAACCTCTTGTAAACTCGAACGGAACCAGCGTGCATCGTTTTATTCGCCGCACGAGTCTCTCCACAGAGTCGTTAATATTTGTTTCTTGATTCGCACCTAAGCAGGTGTTGGCCACAAGAGCTGCATTGTGTTGAATTTAGAATCGCCCACGCACATGGAATCTACGATCTACGATCTAACCAGAGGCGATTCGTGCTTCCGCATCCTGTCCCTGGCTTGGTATAATTTTACGTAATGCCAGGTCGCGTTGCAGGATCCTTTGTGACGAGTCGCGTTTCTGAATTGCGTGTCGACAGCGGATCGTGATGTCTGTATTTGGCAAATTGACAGCTGTCGTTCTTTGACTTCTTTCTTTAACGACGGAGTTCACGTATCGCGCTGAATATTTCATTCGGTCGAGAATAAAATGTGTATATTGATTTTCCTAAGGAATCGCGTGACGGTATTACGGATTGTTAACGGCATTGTATTTACTAAGCTACGGATTTCGCGCGATTATGGGAAATTGAAATGTATAAACATATATAAAATGCACATGATATGCAGAAGTACATAAAATATTCCAAGTTTTCGTTATAATTTGGTAGATGAAATAACTTGAAAATCTGTTAGTACCTTTAAGTACATTTATCCCTTCCAATGAGATCCCAACTTTATCAAGATCTTCTTTCGCACGTTCTTCAGGTGTAACGCGGATATTTCAATATTCTGTTCTCGAGAAATTATCTTCTTACGATTAGCATTCGAATAAACGATCAGCCGCAAACATAATTAAATATAGTACAAGTAAATAAATAATACCTACATGTCTAAAAATAAAAAATAATAGCAAACGTACCTATAGCCAGACGTTTAATCCCAAAGACGAAAGTTAAACCTGGTCAAAAAACGAGAAAATAGAAAAAAGTGCTTTTTCGATTCGAAGGAATTGCTCGAGTCACCGAATCGAACGTTCCACTTATCTCTCTCCCTCTCTCTCTCTATCTCTCTCTCTTGAGACCTTTCTGTAACAATGAAGTGTATTCGCGGCACGTGTTCAGACCGTGGCCCGCAATACAGGAAAAAGCGAGTAAAAAAAACCATCACAAAGCTCCATCCCCGATACTGTCAAATTTATATCCGATCTGAAGATTCGAAAATCCGCCGATCAGCCAGATGCCGGCATGCTTCGATGATCAAACTTAATAATATTTATGCAACGCGTGAGCAATGTATTCCTTCCATCGTTCTGGATATTTCGGTTCTTTTTGTGATGTTACATTTTTTTCCTTTTTCTTTGTGGGGGCGACGGCTTCATGGATTTAAGACGCGGTCGAAGTGGAATACAAAGTGAAACGCAAAATAAAGGATACAGGATGAGTAACGATATTTAGAAGTCTGTTTAGCGTTATGAATTTCTTAGAATTATTCGAGAGCAGCTTATATTCTATATTTTATGTTTTATTTTTCGTTATTCCCAATATGCTTCTTTCAAACGCTTCTTTTTACTATACTATCGATTAGCTTTATTTTTTCAAACGACCATTCGTCTCCTTCAGCAGTGACTTCGTGTAGTTTCTGTAAACTTTCGTGTCTTACGATTATTCGACTTTTCATTACTGAGAAAATTTGGTAGAAACAGAAATATATCCGTGTAATACGATAATTCAATGAATAGAACGAATGGATTCCAACATTGCAATTAAAGCTATCAACATTAATTAAATTAACTCAAACCACCTTTGATAGAATCATCGTAAGTCTATTGAGCGGTAATCCATACTGTTTTCATCATCAGAAATAATCTCTTTCGAAAATCCAACGAAAGATCATCAGATACCAAAAGCAAGAACTCGAAACGGGTCCTCTGGAAGCATACTGGCTCCTTCGCCTACCATAAGATTATAAAAGACCCGGTAAGTTTCTTGAAAGTTGGTCTGCCCAAAAAATCAGCCAGTTCGACGAGATCCATACGGCCACTCGACTTCTTCCTGATGGGAAAGTAGCATGGTCCGGCTCGTTTGAAGTTCATCCTGTCTCCAGAAAACCCATCTCATCCCATCCTGTCCTATCCTGTCCCATTCGTGAAAACAGAGAGTGTTCACGCGACATAAGCGCCGTCTTACTACGTACATAGTCGAAGGAGAGGAAGGAGAAGGAAGAGAGGAAGAAGAAAAAGAATAAACCCATATAAGAAAGAAGAGGATGAAGAGAAAGAGCCGATAACCGGTGGCGTGCACAGAACCAGCGGCTTTCTGCTTCCGAGAGCACGAACGCAATAAAATGATCCATCGGCACGAGTATACGGCCACGGGATCC